GTGATGCGGGGAGACCGTAATGGGATGTTCTCGGGAGCCTTTCATCCAAGAGTCTACTTAAGCTTCATCGGATGATCCGGAACTATTTTGGTAGAGGTAGACTGGTACTTGTGGCGAAAGGAGTCTCTGGTGAAAATCTCGAAAGAGACTCGGTCCCGAAATATCTTCACTTTAGTGATGGCGGAGAAAGGTCCTCGGGAGAAAGACTTTCCCTGAGAACAATACCTGTACTAACAAGGAACAAGTCAGCCTCAGAAAGCGTAGTGCGACGGAAACGCTGAGCACAAGACCCTCACTTGAGCAGTTAATTCTTCCATTGTAAGCTCCCAGATATTTTCGTCTGCAGCTATCATTTGTCAAATTGTCATGCCACTCGAAGATGCTAAAGTAGGAAGGTCTGGCTGCTTGCGCTAGGTTCGTCTGTGGAGACGTTGTAGCTCACAAACTATCTGACGCCAGACTTAACCTAGAAGTCCAAATGTGCACTCAAGTCCAAAATGTCTAATTGCGTCTTACGGCAGTGACAAGCAGAAGTGTCAGGGTCGATGAAAGGTGTCAAAGCAGAACTTGAAACGAAACATTTCGCCCTTGTGGGGATCGTTTTGTTTCTTCATCCGATATCCATCCTGGCGTCGAAGTCCACCTGCACGGTCGTGTGGAATACGAGAACGTGCGAACGTGCGAACAGACCTCGGACTGCATAACCTTACGCAAGTCAGTCACGACCACTGCATCTGCCCAAGTTACAGCGTGGAAGGAATGCAGCACATTGTACACGGATGGAGAAAATAGCTTGTGTGCAATATTATGCCGTGGAACGTACGTATACTGTGCTGCCATGAGATATTGGTATCTCGCATGCTTTGCACTCCCATGGATCTCTCGCCAACAGTAGTCTGGTTGATCTCCCGCCTAACGACGTCCTCGAATGCTTCTGTTGGCTCATGGCTGATGCTGAAGAATGGGGATGCCCACTAGGGCCCTTCGTTTGCTTCGATGATTCCTGCGCTCAAGCAGAATCTCGATGCATAATGCTATTCTCCAATGAAGGCTGTCTCCCACATCCCGCTCCGAGCCCGAGAGCGAAGACCTGTCGAAAAAACCTGTTTCCAGCCACCTCCTCTGCTCTCCTCTGCTCTCTTCTCTCTCCTCTCTCCTCTCCGCTTGTGTTTGTTTGTTTCCTTGGCGGCATTGGTTCGGCTACAGAGTTCTCGCTACTCCTGTCTATTCCTGTCAATAGTCTGAGCGGCGGTCGAGTTGAGTAAGGTTAAAGCATGATTTGGGATGATGAGGTTCGTCCAAGCTTTCGGCGCTAGCATCGGACGCCCTCCTCGTTCCTGCATTTGCACCCGCACCAACGTCGACAGGGGGCCCGAATTGGGAGCATACAGACCGAAGCGAGGCCTGGCCTGGCCTCATCGAATCTGACCTCTTCTCATCTCCCTTCGCCTCCCTCCACCTCCCTTCACCTCCTTTCATCGCCGCGACCAATTGTCGCTCGACTGGTCTCCTGACCACAGACGTCGTGATGCGCCGTGCTTGGACTGACGATGCCGGAAGCAGAGAGGCTAGAACATTGTTGACAGCTCCCCCGAGCACATTGAGGACCAAGACCCGATCACCAGCTATCGATGCAACCGTGACACGACGCTCGCAACCTGCACATTCTGCATTCTGCATTCTGCCCCACGACGATGCTATTGAAGCTGCCCCAATTCTCCGAGGGAGGACGAGATCTTCGAGAAGGAATTAGCACCAAATATTGATCGGACAAACCCCCCGGTCGTCGGGACTTGGAGAGACCTCATGCGACCCCGATAATCGAAATGTTCTCCCGGCGGCTTCAATGCCGTCGGAGCCTCGAGTCTTCGCCCTCTCCGTGATTGGCTTGGACCGCTCGAAGGTTGAGAGAAACCTCAAGCTGCAGACGCCACGCGAGCCTGTACCTGGCAGAGGTGCAAGGATCCGGCGCGGAGCCATGATGCTGGGAGGTGCAAGCGCACCTGCCACTGCCACGGCCGCTGCCAGTGCCAAAGCCAAAGCCAAAGCCAAAGCCAAAGCTCCCTCGGTTCGATCGGACTTTCTCGTCGAGTCGTCGTAGCCTTGTCCAAAAACATCGCCAGGTTACCACTGCCGCTGGGGGAGGTACGACCTTGGCTGGCCACTTCCTATATATGTCCCCTCCTCTTCCTCCATGTCTGCCTTCCGACTGTTCCTCAACAGTTTCCAAACTGCTTCTCTTCACCCTCTTTTCTTTATTTGAATAAACCGTAATTTCAACGTCATGTTGAGCTTCAAGTCTCTCGCTGCTGCTTCGGCGGCCCTTACTTTCTTTTCTGGCGTGAATGCTGGATATCCGGTCGAGGTTGTTAAGCGGAACCAGGAACCGTCTCAACCTTCTTGTACCGACTTCACTCCTTTCGTCTATGCCGGATGTTTCGAGAACCTCGGCAGTCCTTTTCCCGATACTCTCCTTTACAAGGGTCCCAATACCCAAAATATGACCGTCGAGACGTGTGTTGCATTTTGCAAAGGTAGCTTCTTGCGAGTCTTGTGACCGACCTTGCTAACATCAAGTAGGCAACGACTACAGATATGCTGGTCTCGAGTACTACAGTGAATGTTTCTGTGGTGCCTCCGTTAATGGCCCTCAAGTCGATGAGAGTCAATGCAACGTTCCTTGCACAGGAAATTCTTCCGAGACATGTGGCGCAAACAACAGGCTCAACATTTACCAGGATCCTACCTTCCCGACTGTGGATGATAGCATTCTCTCAGACTACAAGCCCTTGGGATGCTACTCGGAAGGTTCAAGCGGGCGTTCTCTTGCTTGGAGACAAGATCAACTCTCCACTACCAATCTGACCGTTGAAGCCTGTCTCTATGCTTGCAAAGATGCTGGCTTTCCAATTGCTGGTGTTGAGTACGGACAGGAATGTTACTGCGGTGTTGTCTTGGGCAACGGTACTCTGCCATTGAGTAGTTCTTTGTGCAACAAACCATGCACTGGCAATAGCACAGAGACCTGTGGTGGTTCTTCGACCCTGGACCTCTATGTTGCACTGGATTTGGAGTCAAGCCAGCCTTGCCAGAGTGGGCCTCCTTCCTGGAGCTCTACCACTACCAGCACGACATCTTCAAGCACCACCTCCACCTCATCCACTGTGAGCACGACATCCAGCACCTCAACACCGAGCACTTCTACATGGGTTAGCAGCACTCCAAGCTCTCCAGTTAGCAGCACACCATCAACGAGCTCTACCAGCTGTAAAACCACAATCAGCACTTCTACTATCCCGAAAACGAGCACAAGCTGCACAACTTCGACTAGTGAGTTTCCCTTCTTTCCTGCAGAGTCTGCTCCAATATTTTGAGCTACGCAGTCAAACAACCATCCTGTTTCACAAAAGCTGACTTTTCTAGAATCATTCTCGACCCCAAGCAAGCCAACCACATCGTCGCCACCAACGACTTCCACAAGTATGTATCCTTTCAGAACATTGGCATAAGACCTTCAACTAACATCTCCCAGCTTCCACAAAGACAACTGCATCCCTTTGCACATCAACGTAAGTCTTCTTCCTATCATAGACTAGTTCATTCTGACAGATTTCGTAGCTATACTACCACTCCAACGCCAACATGCGAATACTCATGCGGAAACTGGTGCTCAACGCCCATCCCGACTTTCTCTGACTCGAATTCCTGCTGGGCTGCGTTCTCTTCTTGCGAGGTCCAACTCTCTTCTTGCTTCCTTCATGCGGGATTCCCTGCCAGTTTAAATTGTTTCCAATTCTCTAGCTGGTGCACGTCAATCTCGCAATACTGCGGAAATTACTGCCCAGGTGGAAACTGCAACAAGGGTGGCTGTACCTCAAAGCACCCTCCCTCTGGTCCATCACCACCTGCTCCAGTCTATTCTACTTCTGTCTACACTTGCAAAGCTGCTGCCACCTCATCAGCTAAACCATCAACCACGAGTGCGAAGCCATCTTCTTCCACAACAAGCTGTGTACCTATCCCGACCAATTCCAACGTTTGCACACAACCACACAACCCAAGCAAGGGTTACACTTCAACCTCTCCCGTCGGCAACATCCCACTCCCATGCCTGACTTGCAACAACCTCTATTCCGACTACCACTCTGGCAACCAATTCAAGCTCTACACCTTCGCCGACTCCTCCAAGTGTCCATCTTACCCGAAATCCGGCAACAGCGGTCCACAGCAGGGTTGCAAGGACGCTTGCGATACTCAACATCAGAACTGCATGAGCACCTATGCTGAGGGTTGCAGGGGTAATACCAGAGGAGATACCTATGCGAGCGCGAGCCAGAAGTGCCAGAACCAGTGGAATGATTGTTGTTCTGCCAACTCTGAACCTAATACGGGAGGAAGATGTACTAGCTGGAACCAGGGATGGTATTAGATGGAGTAAGTGAAGGAGAAGTTGAGGAGTTAAAAGGAACCGGATATATTTTAGTGAATAATGTTTTAGTCTTAGTATTTATTGTCTTTTTTGGAGGATGGAGGATGAGATATGGAGACCATGAGAAGGTAATGGTGAGATGATTTGGTAGATGGGGATGAAATGAGAAAATATGATTTTATACCCCTATTTTCAATGAACAACCAGTTATGGTACCTTCTGTGATGGCGGCTAGTGTATCGTATCGAATGATATCTTTGGTCGAGAAATTGATACCTCAAAAACACACAAGTACGTGAAGGCAGATGAGGAAAATCGGTTTGAGAGTGAGATGTATCAAATGAGCCTTGGTGTGTGTGTTAGGGTGGGTATGGGGAGGTGGTGAAAGCGTTTATGTGTCTGGATTTTAGTTGAAGGAAGAGAGCGGGGTGGCTTGGGTTGGGATGGGAGGGAGAGGTTTGGAGGACATCAGTCATCCGACGACCAACCCCCCATCCTCACAAAGACCTATAAGTCCCAACAAGCAATTCTTTCACTAAATGAATAGGTGTGTAGAAAAAGGGGGGGAAAGGGCTTCTTGGTGTAGTGGTACCACGCCTCTTTCTGGAAATGGAAGAGGAGATCCCGGCGTTCGATTCCCGGAGAGGTCATTGATCTGCTTTTTGTTCTTCTTCGAATGGAGGGGGGGAAGGGCAGGGGATGAAGAACTTTTTTGTTTTTTTGTGTTTTTTGATTTTCTTTAATGTTCTTTTCTTTTTTTGGGAGGGAGAAGTGGGAGGTTGGTTATCTTTTTCTTTAAGTTTATGAGTGAGGGTTTGGCAAGTTCATATTTTTCTACATATCGGGAAACCTAAACTTCAACACCAAAAGCCACTAAGGATAACGCGTCTTTAGGTACGACATGCAACGAAAAAAATTATTTTATCTACCTAGTAACAAGTTTCTTTCTCCTTACTTTTGAGCCTCAAGTTTAAAATCCCGGACGCACTAGAAGGTTCCGTAAGCATGTTACATCCATTCACTTCACTTCACTTCACTAATTACAAATACACAAGACCCGCTAAAAACACGCGTTTTCCAAGTCCGATATGCAACGAAAAATAAGTTTGGATATATTTCAGATTTTGTACAGTGCTTGTTAAAGAAGTCCGATTACGCGTTACAAAATACGACATGCAACGAAAGTTCAAATCGGTATATAGGTAGGTAGCTAGAAATGCTAAAGACATCGCTTAAGTATATCCCATGACGTGCAAGGAAAACTTCGTCTACTCACAAGCATGGATGATCCGCTCGATTTCATTGTACGACGTGCAACGAAACCTTGTACTACATGATTTGACATTTGAGCTTATGGGAAAGTCTAGCAGGCCTAACCACCTGTTGCACATCGCATGAAACTTAATATTCGAAGCCGAATATTCGAGTTATAGTTGTCATTTTTTTTAGATTTTGTTTTGTTTTGTTGCATACTGTATTGTAAGCCAATGATGAAATCCAGGCACTCAAACCTCGAAGTTTCTGTCGCAGGTTTTGTCCCGCCTTGTCCCGCCTTGTCCCGCTTATTGTATTATTATCCTCTGCCTCTCTGTTGTTTCGTCTGAAGATGGTATATGGCACGATGAAGGCCAACGAATAAAGCATTTTGCGGATCTTGAGCCGATTGCCGACTCGCTTCGCATAAAAAGGGGGCCTTGAGGGGTCCTGCGCAAAAATTCGGACCGAGTCACATACATTGGAAATATCTATGCGGGGAAGCCTAGATTAACGAGCGATTTAATCGATGACAGGTCGGAGAGGTTAAGTTCAGTTAGGTATTGACTAGGACCTGCAATTTGGGCGTTTGATGGGGGCAATGTGGCGCTGGTGTGACCTGGAGTGCATTTGCGCCTCGTCCTGCATTGAGCAATTCGTCAGACGAGGTCTAAAGTCTAGACATCTGTTTTCGAGATGAGAAAGCGTGGGCGAAAAGCTGTGTGTTTTATGAGTAATGCTTTCGTTGAGGATTATAGTTAGCTTTTAGAGCCCTCTCCATCGTTGTTCGAGCCCTCTAAGGTAACATACTTATATTGCTTTTCCTTCCTTTCTTTTCCTTGCACACGTTGCATCCTCCCATTCCTTCAGTCGAGGCTGTTCTTCTTTCCTTCTCTCTGGTAAACCATATCTTCCACCACTCGCGGTCCTCAGCTCTTGGGCGTCAGTCGGTTTCTTTTTACTGTCTCTGGGTTCTTCCTCTCTCTACCGCTCCACTGTAAGAGAAAATGCAATAGCGGCACCTTTCCAATCTTAGCGGCTATCTATAGCAAGATATCGTTCAGATTGACAATACTACGCATTAGTTTGACCAAGATACGCGTCTGGTTTTGGGCCATTATGATCAGTATCAATGTAGCCTTGGGTTTGACGATCTTGGTAAGTTTGATGAAATTGGAATTCGGAGGTCAAGCGGACATGCTGAAATCCAAATGTTTATACATATTACTCGGTTGCTACTACTGGCGAATCGAGGTTTCTTCTTTTCCCTCCTCTTCCTGCTATTGCTTCCCTTTTACTTCTTCTACTTTGCTCGAAGACCGAGTCATTTGTAGTAATGAAGAGCTCAAATAACGTAGTTATCACGAGCCAACGAAGGATGAGTGGTGGTATCAGAAGGGTAACGGATGAGGGGAGCGAAATGAGTATTTTGGGCAGGGAACTAGATGGCGGGAAGGGGACGGGAGTCGTTGCGACGGTGGGGGGGCGTCATGCTGCGAACAGAGACGAGAGTGGAATTTCTGCATGGAAAAGAGCAGAAGGGCGAAGAGTTTGAAATGCAAGCTGTTTCGGGTGTATGGATGCTACCTGTGTGCTAGCTGACTCACCCCTATTCCTACTACTAGGGTTGGGGCGGCCATCTAGGAGGAGACTGGGAAGAAAGATTGTTTCCTTAAACATATGTAGTAAGGAAGACTCTGCGTCAGTGGATTTTGTGAAAGAAACAAGAGGAAGGCAACTAGTCCGCTAGACGGATAACCAAGGCTTCTCAGTCTTCATTTGAACAGTCAACACTGTACAATATCTTCGTTACTGCTTCTCCGCTCCAAATCCTCTTAATCGTAATGTGCCCCACATCAGCGGTCGTGGCCACAAATGTACCGCAACAACTGTCGGCGCCTAAACCATCGAACTCGATGGCCCGGATCGCCTTTCCAGCAGGAATGTCCCCTTCCCCTGGAACAATGAAACGCTTATCCTCTGCTTCCTGTGGAGTCCACCTTTGCATCCGGACCGGCACATCCATCTCGACGATCCTGTTGGCTTCTCGCTCGATAACCTCTCTGTGATGCCCTTCAATCAATCCCCGAAATTTAACATATGCTGTATCTGGGTAGCTCCTAGAAGAGCAGAAATTCGTGACGCTAGCAATGTCGCCACAAGCTTGCAGCCGGCCAACAGCGAGACGAACGATGTGTCCACCAGTGTGAATCCGTGAGTGAAGGTGCCGTTTCGCAGCATTGATATGTTGGCATGCTTCTTGTCCTGGAGAAAAGGCCGGGCTATTGGGCGCGAATTTGCCTAGGTGGAAGATGATGCCAGAGGCATCTTTACGTACTTGAGAGACTAAGAATAAGATTTCGGGGTCATCTGCCAGGGAGTCTGACTTCAAATGCATCACTCCTGTGTCGCATGGCTGACTGTCGCCAGGGTAGAAAATGGTCTTATCGGTGATGACTACGGAACTGTTGCGTGGGACGTTCTTGAAGAGTGCCTTCGCGTGAGCGTTCTTCATTCTATTATAATGACCGACAGCCAGGACCTTGGCTTGTAGCTTTGACTCGAACACCCTATAATGGTAGACTGGCCTGGTCGTGCTGAGTTAAGAAGTACCCGTTAGCTGTGTGGCATGTGCCGGGTTATGCAGAAAGACGAAGCAACCTGAGAAGAGAAGAGGTAGGGTTGGACACTCACATAATCGATGCTGATGACATTGTTATTTTTCGTATTCTAGAATGTAGAAGTGAAAAGAATCAGTGATTTAATTCAACGATCGTGACAGACACAGTTCGATCCATGCGAGGAAGTACTTAAACAGTGAGAGAAGTCATTGGCGGCAATCGCATACTTTGAAGGATAGGAAGGAGCGACGGGGCATTTTTCCTGAACTTACACCACATCCTCAATATATTGCTGACTCGCATCTGGGAAAGATGAGGTGAGGATTGTGAGATGTCTTTTAATGGAACATAAGTAGAGCGTGGTACATCAGATCAAAGTGTCATCAGACTTTCGAAACTCCTTATATATTTTTATAATTGCCGCCACATCACAACCCAGATCCGAAGGGTTAGAAGACGTGGAATGGGAACCCAGCCGCTTGTACTCCTAGATCTGATGAGGTAGAACGCACGGAGATTATGATACGTGACGCGCAAAATTGCTGGACGCGGCGCCGAACCATTCGCACCAGCAGACCTCGTCCTAAATTATCTCATTATGCTTGTGCTATTCAGACTCTTGCATAAGGCATTCTTTGCTCTTATCTACGTGTTGTTTATTGCAGTAATTTTTGATGAGTGTTCGCTGCAAATTCATGAGCAATGCAAGGTCTGCTGTCAAATCGTTTGGAGGAGAGGTGCAGCTTCATACTCGGCTCCCTTTTAATAGACGAGCCTTAATGTACGTCACGAATAAGCTGCAAATGCGAGAGAAGAAGATGTGCGAGCTAGGCTAGGTGCGAAATTGACATCTGCGAATTCCTTAATTTTAAGGCACTCACGCCTACTTCGGTTTTCTCGCTTATGAACGAATTTTGTTGGTAAGCTGTATAAAGTGAGATAAGCATATCTCTCCCATCAAAACATGTCCGTATTGGTGTACCGGTAACATTTCCGCCTCTCATGAAGAACGCGGGAGCACAGGGTACGTTCAACAAGCTAAACAACTGCAAAAAAGTATCCTAACATCCAAATAGGTTCGATTCCCTGATACGGAGTTTAAAAAAGAAATATTTTTTTGGTTGGAAATTTTATATTTGGTATTGTGTGCTGGCCGAGAAGTAATCTAGGTATTTGAGTGATTTTTTTTGTGCGCTTTGATACTCCTGAGTTTCTGTAGCCAATTAAGCGAGCCCAAAAATACGCGAGTCTGGCAAGGGTCTAGTATGATTTATGGGCGTCGAAACATCGTTGAACTACCTACAACAACCTCCTCATTATCTCTTGTGTAGAATTACTCCTTACCGTCAAATTCCCATACACAATCCCATCTTCGCTCTCCTGACCCCCCCACGTACTCCTCAACCCCCAAACATCCACACTAACCACCACACCCTCATTCAACCCCTCCGTCCTAATCACCACCGTATCTAGCTCTCCCTCAGGAAAGAATGTCATCGTCGCACTGTTTCTTCCTCCGTCGAGAAATACCTCGAGGATCGAACGATCCATGATCCCTTCAAGCATGAATGTCCCGTTCGCATTGATGGGGTTACCAACACTGAATTTATCGGTGAAAAAGGGATTTGTTTCTCCGAACCCGAGGACTTTCTGCCGAGAGATCCAAAATGGGTTGTCGCCTCCCAGGAAAAAGCCGCCGGAGACGGATTCTTGAGTGTAGGAGGATGAGAATGTGAAGTTGAGTGTTCCCATGGAGTACGTATCGTTGGGGATAT